AAATTCAGTGAAAATCGGGTGAAAAATGGCTGAAAAATGAGTGAAAAATGGACACAAAATGGCGGAAAAATGAGAAAATTAGGGGAGAAAATGGCGGCGGGAATATGAAAAATTTGGGGAAGAAATTGGGGAAAATTGTGAAATTTTGAGGAATTTTTGAGGAATTTTAGGGGAAAATTGGGGAAAAAATGAGGAAAAATAGAGGAAACTTTAGAGGAAATGTGAGAGAAATTTGGGAAGGATTGGGGAAAGTTTGGAGAAAATTTTGAGAAAATTTGGGGGAAGTTTCATGAAATTTTGGGGAAAAATTGGGGAAAAATGGGGGAAAATTAGAGAAAAAATTGGGGAAATTTTGAGGAAAGTTTGGTGAAATTTTGAGGAAAATTGGGGAAAGTTTGGGTGAAAATTGGGGAAAGTCCCAGGAAAAATTCATGAAAGTTTGGGGGAAACTGGGGAAATATTTCAGAAAAGTTTGGGGGAAGTTCCGTGAAAAAAGAGGAAAATTTCCTGAAAAAAAGAAGAACATTTCATGAAGAGAAAAGGGAAAATTTTGAGTGAAAAAAGAGGAAAAATTAGTGAGAAAAAGAGGAACATTCTGCTTAAAAAAAGAAAATTTCACAAAAAAATGTAAAATTTCGTAAGAAAAATGGAAAATTTCCGTGTAAAAAATTCAAATTTCGCTGGATTTTTTTTGAATTTAAGGGCAATTTTTGGGGAATTTTTATGGAATTCTTTTGGAAATTTTTGTTTCATTTTTTTGAATTTTTTTGAATTTTTTTGGAATCTTTTGGAAATTTAAAAAAAAAAAATTTTAAATTTTTTAAATTTTTTGGGGGAATTTTTTTTTATTTTTTAAAAAATTTTTTGCATATTTTTCGGAATTTTTTTTGAATTTTTAAAGAATTTTTTTTGGCTTTTTTTGGAATTTTTTTTGCACTTTTTTGTAATTTTTTTGTAATTTTTTTGAATTCTTTTGAATTTTTTTCTTTTTTTTTTTCATTTTTTTGGAATCTTTTGGGAATTTTTTCGGAATTTTTTTTGAAATTTTTTTTTATTTTTGGGGGGAATTTTTTTTTATTTTTTTAAAAATTTTTTGTATATTTTTTCGGAGTTTTTTTGAATTTTTTTAAAAATTTTTTTTAATTTTTAAAAATTTTTTTTGGAATTTTTTTTAATTTTTTGGAAGTTTTTTGGATATTTTTTCGGAATTTTTTAAAATTCTTTTGAATTTTTTTTTCATTTTTTTGATTTTTTTTTCATTTTTTTGGAATCTTTTGGGAATTTTTTCGGAATTTTTTTTGAAAATTTTTAAAATTTTTTGGGGAATTTTTTTTTTGAATTTTTAAAATTTTTTTGTATATTTTTTTCGGAATTTTTTTGAATTTTTAAAAAATATTTTTAAAAATTTTTTTAAATTTTTTTGGAATTTATTTTGGAATTTTTTGGAAGTTTTTTGGATATTTTTTCGGGATTTTTTTTCAATTTTTTTTTAAATTTTTTCTGAATTTTTCCCGATTTTTTTCTGATTTTTTTCCGATTTTTTTCTGAATTTTTTCCGAATTTTCCCCGAATTTTCCCCGAATTTTTCCCGAATTCTTTCCAAATTCTTTCCAATTTTTTTTTAAATTTCCCCACCCACCTCCCCCAATTTTTTCCCCCCCTTTAACCCCCACCTTGCCGCCTCTCCACCCTCCTCTCCAGCGGCGCCGGCAGCTCGGCGTGCCCCACCCGGCAGACGAAGGCGGCGCCGCCCTCCCAGTCGCCGGTGGCCACCGGCAGCTCGCTGGCCGCCGTGAAGGTCCCGTTGAAGTGGTGGCTCAGCCGCAGGGGGAGGGGCTGGCCAAGATGGCCGCCGCCCACGCGGCTCCAGGTGACCGAGAGCCCCTCGTCGCTGGGCAGGCTGGTCACCAGGCACAGCAGCCGCGGCGTCTGCGTGATGAAGAGGTCGGAGGGCGACGGCGGCAGCGCGAAGACGGAGATGGGCGTGGAGCTGGGGGCTGGGGGGAAAGAGGGGAAAGTCAAGGTTGGGTTGGGTTGGGTTGGGTTGGGTTGGGTTGGAGAAGTCAAATGTTGAGTTTGGGTTGAGTTGAGTTGGGTTGGGGGTCTTGGAGAACCCAAAAAGTTGAGTTTGAGTTGGGTTGGGTTGGGTTGAGTTGAGTTGGGTTGAGTTGATTGGGTTGGGTTGAGTTGGGTTGGGTTGAGTTGGGTTGGGTTGGAGAACATCAAAAGTTGAGTTTGGGTTGAGTTGGGTTTGGGGTCTTGGAAAACCCAAGAAGTTGAGTTGGAGTTGAGTTGAGTTGAGTTGAGTTGGGTTGAGTTGGGGTTCTTGGAGAATGAAAAATATTGAGTTGGTTGAGTTGGGTTGGGTTGAGTTGGGTTTGGGGTCTTGGAAAACCCAAGAAGTTGAGTTGGAGTTGAGTTGAGTTGAGTTGAGTTGGGTTGAATTGATTGGGTTGGGTTGGGTTGAGTTGGGTTTGAGGTCTTGGAGAACCTCAAAAGTTGAGTTTGGGTTGGGTTGAGTTGGGTTGGGTTGAGTTGAATTGATTGGGTTGAGTTTGGTTGAGTTTGGTTGAGTTGAGTTGGGTTGGGTTGGGTTGAGTTGAGTTGAATTGATTGAGTTGGGTTGGGTTGGGTTTGGTTGGGTTGGGTTGGAGAAGTCAAATGTTGAGTTTGGGTTGGGTTGAGTTGAGGGTCTTGAAAAACCCAAAAAGTTGAGTTTGGGTTGGGTTGGGTTGGGTTGAGTTGGGTTGAGTTGGGTTGGGTTGGGTTGGGTTGAAGAACATCAAAAGTTGAGTTTGGGTTGAGTTGGCCGTGGCCTCGCGCACGGCGCCGGACGCGGCGTGCGTCGCCCGGCAGGAGAAGGCGCCGTCCCACCAATCGGCCGTGGAGACGTTGAGGCGCGACACCACCCGGAACGCCCCGGGGGCGGGGCCGGGCGTGGCCTCCTCCGTGTGGGCGTGGCCTCCCGCCATCGGCTCGCCGTCCTTCAGCCAATCCACGGCGACGGTGGGCGGGGCCAGGTCGGTGATGAGGCAGATTAGCTCCACCTCCAGGTGGGAGGAGCCGCAGGATTGGAAGACGGAGACGACCGGTGGGCGGGGCTTCACGCCGTCAACTGTTGAATGAACGTGACGTCATGATTATGTCCCCAAAAGGGGGCGTGGCCAAAAGGGGGAGGGGCTCGGACCTACCTGGGGCGGTGGCGGTGGAGGGGGCGGAGCCTACGGTGGAGGCCGAGGTGGGAGGACCTCAAGGAAAGGGGGAGAAACTCGAGATTTTGGGGGAAATCCGAGGGATTTTGGGGAAATTTGAGGAATTTTTTTTGGAGAAATCCGAGAAATTTGGGAGAAATTTGAGAGTTTTTGGAGAAATTTGAGGATTTTTGGAGAAATTCGAGGATTTTGGAGAAATTAGAGGATTTTTGGAAAATCTCGAAAATTTTGGAGAACCTCGAGGTTGGAGAACCTCAAAAAATCTTGGAGAAACTCAAAAGTTCTGGAAAAATTCAAGAATTTTGGAAAAATTCAAGGATTTTGGAGAAATTCAAGGATTTTTGGTAAACCTCAAAAATTTTGGAGAACCTCGAAGTTGGAGAACCTCGAAAATCTCGGAGAAACTCAAGAATTTTGGAGAAATCCGAGAAATTTCGGAAAAATTTGAGAGTTTTGGGAGGAATTTGAGGATTTTTGGAGAAATTCGAGGATTTTGGAGAAATTCGAGGATTTTTGGAAAATCTCGAAAATTTTGGAGAACCTCGAAGTTGGAGAACCTCAGAAATCTTGGAGAAAGTCAAAAATTTGGGAGAAATTTGAGAGTTTTGGGAGAAATTTGAGAGTTTTTGGAGAAATTCGAGGATTTTTGGAGAAATTCAAGGATTTTGGAGAAATTCGAGGATTTTTGGAAAATCTCGAAAATTTTGGAGAACCTCAAAGTTGGAGAACCTCGAAAAGCTCGGAGAAACTCAAGAATTTTGGAAAAATTCGAGAAATTTCGGAGAAATTTGAGAGTTTTGGGAGGAATTTGAGGATTTTTGGAGAAATTCGAGGATTTTGGAGAAATTCAATAATTTTTTGAAAATCTCAAAAATTTTGGAGAACCTCAAAGTTGGAGAACCTCGAAAATCTCGGAGAAACTCAAAAATTTTGGAGAAATTCGAGAATTTGGGGAGAAATTCAAGAATTTTGGAGAAATTCGAGAAATTTTTGAGAAACTCGAGGATTTTGGAAAAATTTCTCGCGCACGGCGCCGGACGCGGGGTGCGTCGCCCGGCAGGAGAAGGCGCCGTCCCACCAATCGGCCGTGGAGACGTTGAGGCGCGACACCACCCGGAACGCCCCGGGGGCGGGGCCGGCCGTGGCCTCGCGCACGGCGCCGGACGCGGCGTGCGTCGCCCGGCAGGAGAAGGCGCCGTCCCACCAATCGGCCGTGGAGACGTTGAGGCGCGACACCACCCGGAACGCCCCGGGGGCGGGGCCGGGCGTGGCCTCCTCCGTGTGGGCGTGGCCTCCCGCCATCGGCTCGCCGTCCTTCAGCCAATCCACGGCGACGGTGGGCGGGGCCAGGTCGGTGACGAGGCAGATCAGCTCCACCTCCAGGTGGGAGGAGCCGCAGGATTGGAAGACGGAGACGACCGGTGGGCGGGGCTTCACGCCGTCAACTGTTGAATGAACGTGACGTCATGATTATGTCCCCAAAAGGGGGCGTGGCCAAAAGGGGGAGGGGCTCGGACCTACCTGGGGCGGTGGCGGTGGAGGGGGCGGAGCCTACGGTGGAGGCCGAGGTGGGAGGACCTCAAGGAAAGGGGGAGAAACTCGAGATTTTGGGGGAAATCCGAGAGATTTTGGGGAAATTTGAGGGATTTTGGGGAAATTCGAGGGATTTTGGAGGAATTTTGAGGATTTTTGGAGGAATTTTGAGGATTTTGGGAGAAATTTGAGGATTTTGGGAAAATTTAAGAATTTTGGAGAACCTCGAAGTTGGAGAACCTCAGAAATCTTGGAGAAAGTAAAAAATTTGGGAGAAATTTGAGAGTTTTGGGAGAAATTTGAGAGTTTTTGGAGAAATTCGAGGATTTTTGGAAAATCTCGAAAATTTTGGAGAACCTCAAAGTTGGAGAACCTCGAAAAGCTCGGAGAAACTCAAGAATTTTGGAAAAATTCGAGAAATTTCGGAGAAATTTGAGAGTTTTGGGAGGAATTTGAGGATTTTTGGAGAAATTCGAGGATTTTGGAGAAATTAGAGGATTTTTGGAAAATCTCGAAAATTTTGGAGAACCTCGAGGTTGGAGAACCTCAAAAAATCTTGGAGAAACTCAAAAGTTCTGGAAAAATTCAAGAATTTTGGAAAAATTCAAGGATTTTGGAGAAATTCAAGGATTTTTGGTAAACCTCAAAAATTTTGGAGAACCTCGAAGTTGGAGAACCTCGAAAATCTCGGAGAAACTCAAGAATTTTGGAGAAATCCGAGAAATTTCGGAAAAATTTGAGAGTTTTGGGAGGAATTTGAGGATTTTTGGAGAAATTCGAGGATTTTGGAGAAATTCGAGGATTTTTGGAAAATCTCGAAAATTTTGGAGAACCTCGAAGTTGGAGAACCTCAGAAATCTTGGAGAAAGTCAAAAATTTGGGAGAAATTTGAGAGTTTTGGGAGAAATTTGAGAGTTTTTGGAGAAATTCGAGGATTTTTGGAGAAATTCAAGGATTTTGGAGAAATTCGAGGATTTTTGGAAAATCTCGAAAATTTTGGAGAACCTCAAAGTTGGAGAACTTCAAAAATCTTGGAGAAACTCAAAAGTTTTGGAAAAATTCAAGAATTTTGGAAAAATTCAAGGATTTGGAGAAATTCAAGGATTTTTGGAGAAATTCAATAATTTTTGGTAAATCTCAAAAATTTTGGAGAACCTCGAAGTTGGAGAACCTTGAAAACCTCGGAGAAATTCAAGAATTTTTGAAGAATTTCAAGAATTTTTAGCTCGGAGAAACTCAAGAATTTTGGAAAAATTCGAGAAATTTCGGAGAAATTTGAGAGTTTTGGGAGGAATTTGAGGATTTTTGGAGAAATTCGAGGATTTTGGAGAAATTCAATAATTTTTTGAAAATCTCAAAAATTTTGGAGAACCTCAAAGTTGGAGAACCTCGAAAAGCTCGGAGAAACTCAAGAATTTTGGAAAAATTCAAGGATTTGGAGAAATTCAAGGATTTTTGGAGAAATTCAATAATTTTTGGTAAATCTCAAAAATTTTGGAGAACCTCGAAGTTGGAGAACCTTGAAAACCTCGGAGAAATTCAAGAATTTTTGAAGAATTTCAAGAATTTTTAGAGAAATTCAAAAATTTTAGAGAAATTCAAGAATTTTGGAGAAATTCGAGAATTTTGGGGAGAAATTCAAGAATTTTGGAGAAACTCGAGAAATTTTTGAGAAACTCGAGGATTTTGGAAAAATTTAAGAGTTTTGGAGAACCTCAAAGTTGGAGAACCTCGAAAATCTCGGAGAAACTCAAAAATTTTGGAGAAATTCGAGAATTTGGGGAGAAATTCAAGAATTTTGGAGAAATTCGAGAAATTTTTGAGAAACTCGAGGATTTTGGAAAAATTTAAGAGTTTTGGAGAACCTCAAAGTTGGAGAACCTCAAAAATCTCAGAGAAACTCAAAAAATTTTGGAAAAACCCAAGAATTTTTGGAGAAATCCAAAAATCTTGGAGAAATTCAAGAATTTTGGAGAAACTCAAGAAATTTTGGAGAAACTCAAGAAATTTTGGAGGAACTCAAAAATTTTGGAGGATTTCAACAATTTTGGAGAAATTCAAGAATTTTTGGAGAACCTCGAGGTTGGAGAACCTCGAAAATCTCAGAGAAACTCAAAAATTTTGGAAAAAATCCAAGAATCTTGGAGAAACTCAAAAATTTTGGAAAAATTCAAGAATTTTGGGAAAATCCAAGAATTTTTGGAGATTCACAACAATTTTGGAGATTCTCAAAAAATTTTGGAGAACCTCAAGCTTGCAGAACCTCAAAAATCTTGGAAAACCCCAAGAATTTTGGAGAACTTCGAAACTTTTTGGAGAATTTCAAATTTTTGGAGATCCTCGACGATTTTTGGAGGATTTCAACGATTTTGGAGATTCTCGAGGTTGGAGGACTTCAAAAATCTTGGAGAACCTCAAAAAAAATTTGGAAAACCTCAAAAATTTATGGAAAACTTCAAAAATCTTGGAGAACTTCAAAAATTTTTGGGGAATTTCAGCGATTTTGGAGAACCACAAAATTTTTGGAGAACCTCAAGGTCGGAGAACCTCAAAAAAATCTTGAAGAACCCCCAAAAAAATTTTGGAAAACCTCAAAAATTTTTGGAGAATTTCAAGAAGTTTTTGGAAAAACCTCAAAAATCTTTGGAAAATCTCAAAAATTTTTAGAAAACCTCAAAAATCTTGGAGAACCTCAACAATTTTTGGAGAATTTCACCAATTTTGGAGAACCTCAAGGATTTCGGGGTTCCTCAGGGTTTCGTCGAGTCCAAAACCCCAAATTTTTGGGTTGAAATCGGGGGATTTTGGGTTTTTTTTGGGACCTACCTGGGGTCGCGCTGGAGACCCGCGAGGGGGCGGAGCCTACGGAGATCCGGGGGCGGGGTCAGGCTCGGAGGCTCCGCCCCCTTCCCCGTATGCAAATTTCGGGGGTTTTTTTTTGGGTGGGCGGGGCCAGGACCTACCTGGGGCGGGCGCCGTGGTGGGCGTGGCGGGGGCGGAGCCTACGGAGACGCCGCCGGGGGCTGGGGGACGTCGGGGGGCAAAAATGCCCAAATTTGGTCAATCCAAGACCCCAAAGACCCCAAAACCCAACTGGAGCATCTCAAAGACCCCAAAACCTCAAAATTTGATCAAATCAAGACCTTCAAAGACAAAAAAATCCAAAATTTGGTCAAACCCAAGACCGAAAACCCAACTGGAGGATCTCGAAGACCCCAAAACCACAAATTTGATCAATTCAAGACCCCAAAAAACCCCAAATTCGGTCAATCCAAGACCCCAAAGACCCAAAAAACCCAAATTTTGGTCAAAAATCCCAAATTTTGGTCAATCCAAGACCTCAAAGACCAAAAATCCCAAAATTTGGTCAAACCAAGACCCCAAAGACCCAAAAATGCCCAAATTTGGTTAAACCAAGACCCCAAAACTCAAGTTTGGGTCAATCCAAGACCTTGAAAACCCCAAAACCCAACTGGAGACCCCAAAATCCAAAATTTGGTCAATCCAAGACCTAAAACCCAACTCAAGACCCCAAAAACCCCAAATTTGATCAATTTGAGACCCCAAAACCCCAAAATTTGGTCAATCCAAGACCCAAAACCCAAGTGGAGGATCTTGAAGACCCCAAAACTGAACTGAAGACCCCAAAACCCCAAATTTGGTCAATCTAAGACCCCAAAAACCCAAAAATTGATCAACCCAAGACCTTCAAAGAACAAAAACCCCAAAATTTGGTCAATCCAAGACCTCAAAGACCCCAAAACCCAACGGGAGGAACTCAAAGACCCCAAAAATCCAAATTTGATCAATTTGAGACCCCAAAACCCCAAATTTGGTCAATCCAAGACCCCAAAACTCAACTGAAGACCCCAAAAAATCCAAATTTTGGTCAATCCAAGACCTTGAAGACCCCAAAACCCAACTTGGGGTCAACTGGAGGATCTCGAAGACCCCAAAATCCAATTCAAGACCCCAAAAACCCCAAATTTGGTCAATCCAAGACCTTGAAGACCCCAAAACCCAACTTGGGGTCAACTGGAGGATCTCGAAGACCCCAAAATCCAATTCAAGACCCCAAAAACCCCAAATTTTGGTCAAACCCAAGAACTTGAAGACCAAAAACCCCAAATTTGGTCAATCCGAGACCTTCAAAGACCAAAAAACCCAAATTTGGTCAATCCAAGACCCAAAAACCCCAAATTTGGTCAATTTGAGACCCCAAAACCCCCAAATTCCCTCGGCCCCGCCCCCTCTCACCGACCTTTGACCCGGACGCTCTTGGTGGTCGCCGTGGCCGCGTGCCGGGCGGTGCAGACGAAGCTCCCGGCGCTTCCGGAACCTTCCGGAACCAGGAGCCGGCTGCCGGCCTTGAAGAGCCCCGATTGGCTGAAGAGGGATTTCTCTGCCCCATAGATCCGATCCTGCCCCATAGAAAATCCTATCGGAGTTACTCTGCCCCATAGGAGTTCTTCTGCCCCATAGATCCCGTCCTGCCCCATAGATCCTGTCCTGCCCCATAGATCCATCCCTGCCCCACAGATCCCCCTACACTATAAGGACCCTACAGTACAGCTTGGGGACCCCCTGCCCCACAGATCCCAAGTCTGCCCCATAGATCCCATCCTGCCCCATAGATCCATCCCTGCCCCACAGATCCCCCTACACTATAAGGACCCTACAGTACAGCTTGGGGACCCCCTGCCCCACAGATCCCAAGTCTGCCCCATAGATCCCATCCTGCCCCATAGATCCCCCTGCTCTATAGGAACAGTTGAGAGACCCCTGCCCTATAGCGATCCCTGCCCCACAGATCCCATCCTGCCCCATGGCTCCTGTGCCCCATCGATCCCCCTGCCCCATAGCGACCGCCCCTACTCTATAGGGACCCTACAGTACAGCTTGGGGACCCCCTGCCCCACAGATCCCAAGTCTGCCCCATAGATCCCATCCTGCCCCAT